AAAGAAGAAGGAAAGAAGAAGGAAAAAAGAAGGAAAGAAGAAGGAAAGAAGAAGGAAAGAAGAAGGAAAAAAGAAGGAAAGAAGAAGGAAAGAAGAAGGAAAGAAGAAGGAAAAAAGAAGGAAAGAAGAAGGAAAAAAGAAGGAAAGAAAAAGGAAAAAAGAAGGAAAGAAGAAGGAAAAAAGAAGGAAAGAAGAAGGAAAAAAGAAGGAAAAAGAAGGAAAGGAGAAGGAAAAAAGAAGGAAAGGAGAAGGAAAGGAGAAGGAAAAAAGAAGGAAAGAAGATGATGCACTCACATGTAGACAGGCTGAATGAAGCCTAGGTCTCCCTCCTCACTTCTGTAGTAATCAATGGTGATGGCAACAGGCACCTCGCTGAACTTGTCTCTCTTCCAGTTCTTGTCGCGAGCAACCACTAGAAACTAAAGCACACAAAAAAACAGAAACCGGAACAGATGAAATCAAACAAGAAATATCGCCCTGAAAAAAAGTATATTTAGGACTCGATAAAACATATAACATTTCAGCAAAGATTAAAAATAATTGTTTTAGTAAGTGTTTTACTGCACTTGCAACACAATAAGATCATAAAAGTGCAGAAGATTAGAGGTGTTACAAGAGAGTAACAAACATAAAAAAGAAGGAGAAGAGATAAGGATACATGTTTGACAGGAAAGAAGAAGCAAACCACACCAGAGTACCCGCCAACCACCCACTTAAAAAGTATGGCAGAAAATAAAGAGAACTAGCAGAAACAGAGTGCCCAAATCTTGTTTTCTAGCTGATTCGCACAATCTGCAGGCAGTAACCAAGTCCACCCTATCTTATAATTATGCCGAATGAACTGTAAAAAATCAGAGATGCAGCATGGGAAAAGGCTAGAGAGAAAAAGTAATTTTGAGTTCTATGAACTTTTTGCCTTACCTGAATTAAATTAATCTATAAAATGCATCTCAATCTCTTTATCTGCAGTAGCTGTGGAAGCTTTACTACTAATATAAAATTAGTGTAAAAATATCAAGGCGCCAGATATCGGCGATCAAGGCTCTCCATTCACTTCTATCCTCGGATGCGCTTACAAAAGTTACTTTACCCTGATCTTTCCCCGTTACCCATCTGTTTAGGTTGTCTAAGTAGGTTGCTCTGGGCCTACCCCTGCTTTCTCTCCCAAGCACAACTGGCCGATATAATCTGTCTACCAAAGACAAAGGCTTACATCAAATGTTTCCGATCCAATTTCATCCTTATCAGAGTGTTGTTTCTTGTAGATGCTTCCGTCTTCGGTGATTCCAAAGAAGCGTGTGTCCCTGTCAGTGCCGATGTCTCTCAGTTCATATTCAATCTCAACATTAGGAGTCTGAAATAACGAAAATCAAAATAACAATAATAATAAAAAATAAATACCATTTGTATAGCGCATGTCCCCACTCGAAAGCAAGCTCTGTGCGCTTTACACTATAATAATAACAATGACGAATCTCATAATTAATAATGATGGTAGGAATGACAATTATAATAGTGATACATAATACTGTTAATAAAAAATGATTTACGAAGGAGGAGGAGGAGGAGGAAGAGGAGGAGGAGGGGGAGGGGAGAGGGAAGAGGTGGAGGAAGAAGACATTTTACTTTTTTGAAACTAGCAAAACATTTTGCGATTTACCAATTTACTTTCAATTCTATGACAACTGGTCTCTCGTTCAAATCCTTAACCTTCCTTAAATACCTTAGAGATTTTTTCTATCCTTGTCAACTTTTATCCAGACTACGTTACTTTTTGGAACAAGACACTTTAAAACTTCACACAGTCAGTTTGAGTGAGTAAAGAGAAGCACCTCCACATAATAACCGTCACTAAGTGCAAGGTAAAAGTGAGAGAGGTAGACAGAAACTACAGAGAGAAAGAAATGAAGTAGAGCCTAACAAAGGCGACCTCTGATCATCCATTACATGAGAAGAAAGACACAACAGTAAAAACAGGTGACCAAAGAAAAAAACCAGTTTGACTGGTGACCAAAGAAAAAAAAAACAGTTTAACTAGTGACCAAAGAAAAAAACCAGTTTGACTGGTGACCAAAGATAAAACAGTATAACTGGTGACCACAGAAAAATTCAAACGAACCTCTTCTACCATATCAGACAGTACAGATCAGCTCCCCCCCCCTCCCCCTCGCCCCAACCCTCCCCCCCCCTCCCCAACCTTCCCCCCTCCCCGAGCAACAAAGCGGGTACTTACTCCACGGTTCAGTTCGATAGATGTGTCTGCATCTGTCGCTTGGACTTTGAGGATCTCACGGTTGATGGCAAAGTTCTCCGGGATGGTTTCGTTGTACTCAGTCGCTGAGAAGACTGGGGCGTACTGATTACGCTGGATCCTCACCGTGACTCTCGCCACATCGCTCTTGGGAGTCACTGCGCTGTCTTGGGCCCTGACGTAGATCTAAAAACACAGAAGAAAGTTTTAGTGCAGCTCATTTCCTTTGTATTATTTTATACCGCAACACATGAAACCTCAGATCCAATTACTCTGCTGTGTGTAGGAACTGATTTCATCAAATTAACCAACTTAGGAACTGATTTCATCAAATTAACCAACTTAGGAACTGATCTCATCAAATTAACCAACTTAGGAACTGATTTCATCAAATCAACCAACTTAGGAACTGATTTCATCAAATTAACCAACTAGTAGACACCTGCTAGGTAATCTGACACATGTGTTTTTATCTATACCAGCAAAATGGAAACACAATAATAAGATACCAGTCACTGAAATGCACTCCAAAAAAATTAACAGTAATTCAGAGTTGGAAAATCACAAAAGAGTCTTGAGACTGGGAAAAGACAAAAAAATTATCTGAAAATGTGTCATCATCTCAGTCAATACAATTTAGATTTTAAAGGTTTTGAAGAAGCCCACCGAAACAAGATAAACAGTTTTATTTAAACCTTTAAACCTGGAAAAAAGCAAGACAAAAATGCAAAAGCAATAGTGCGCAAGTGATAAAACTTGCGTCTTTCACCTTCCATCTGGACGTAGTGTTGAGAGAAAATCTATTAGGAGAAGTGAGAAAGAGTAGAGGCCGGCCCGGATTCAAGCTACTTACATTTTTGTTTTTCCTTTTTTTTTTTTTGTGAGTGTTTCACGGCACTCGAAACTGAATAAAGTCATATGAGCGCGCGGGACGCACCTTACATTTTCAGTTTGTAGGAAATTTTGAATTTAGCTCGGGTGGCAACCAAAGCCTACTCTTATCGATTTTGGACCACCAAGAGATCTTTAACATGCGCAACTTGCACACGGGCCCTCTGAGAAGGCTAGGTGCAGATCTTTCCTACCAGAAGAGCAGGGGTGTGGCTGAAAGACAAAAAACAAGCCAAGGAGTAGAAGTGGAAAGGCTGCAGAAAGAGTCAGGAGTCCAGTGGAGGCGGCAAAGGAGGTGAGGGGGTGAGGGCAGAAAGTGGAAATGAAAGCAGACAACAGAAGATTACAAGAAAGAAGGAAAGAAAGTGAAAGGATACAGTTTTAAAGAAGAAAATTTTTCGGTTGCTACCCGGATTCAAACCCGGGACCTTTGAATGAGAGGCCAACACCTTAACCTCTAGGCCACAAGAGCCCCCTAAATGTCTTTATATCAAACATGTTTGTGAAGAGTAGCATCACAGTGACATGAGACTACAGAGGGAATGTCACAAGGTACATAACATTATGCTCATTCAGTTATTTAATCAGGAACCGTGAAAATGTTCCATATTTCAACTCTTCTAATGCCCCAAATTTCAAGATGTCCAGAAATATCTTCCATCTTTCCAAGAAGCAGACGATGGCTTGCAATAATTTTTTTTTCTTTTTAAAGTAAAAACAGTTGAGAAAAAGCTATACCTTTGACAAAACTTTGAAAGGGAAATGTGAGAGCAAGTAGTAGAGGGAGGTAACTGGACACACTGCACCTAGTTCAAATGACAAGGACTCCATCCAACATTGAAAGACTGCTGATGGCAAAAATAGTCCTGTCTGAAAAGTAGGTCACTACCGTTATGCTCCAATGATTTACTATGATGGGACACAACATCTTGTTCACAATCTACACTGAGAATAAAGAAAGGTTTGTTTGTTTGAGTAAGAAAAAGCACATCTACACAATAAGGGTCATTTAGTGTTGGGAATGAGTAAGACAGACAGACAGACAGAAACAACAGAAGGAAAGTAAAAAAGTAGGACCTACCACTGGTGGCACCCTCCAACCACCCACGAATAATGAAAGAGGGTGAGTACACTATTACAGCCTTTTCAAACTGAAGTATTCAAGCTGTTTCTTGGAGATATGAAAGAACAAGCTTGTACTGAAATCTTATCCTTTAATTTTTTTCATCAAAAAAAAAAAAAAATGCAAGACAGAACCCAGACATCAGAATAATCAAGCTTTAACAATTTCTAAAAACAACCACACAGGAAGAGCTTACATCATAGACATCAGCAGCTTCGGGGACGGTGAGGGGTTGGCTGAGGTAGAGCATTCCGTTGTTGGTGCCAATAGTGAAGAAATCGTTGTCGAAGTCCTGAGGACGACTTGGTCGCACCGCGGTCTGGTTCAGGATGGAGTACTGCACTCGGCCACTGTCACTCTGAAATGGTATGATAGTATCTGTCACGACGTGCTGGAATCAGGCGCTCGTCAGAATAATGAAGTGTACGTTAGGCAATTCTTTTTTAATTTTCTTTTTTTGGCTCAACATCTTTTTATATCCATTTAAAAACATATTCATATGTGGATTTTACTGGAAAACGTTGGTCAAAAGCGCAAAAGAAGTAAATTTGCATCTTCCAAGGACTCTCAAGCTTTGGTAGTCACCAAACTTTGTCTGCCATTTTCTCGCTAATTTTACTTCTGAAACCAAGCAACACCATCTCCTTCAATTGCAAATATCCTGACTCATATTTAAGATAGATGTATAATATTTTCGCCAAAAGCAAGACAAATGAAGAAGCTTTATGAAGATACCAATAACTCCACATCCCCAAAAATTGATGAGAGCGTGATTCCACCATGTCGCAATACATACAGTTTGGCTTGGACGTAATGCTCCTTCTACCACAAAAATGGCATTTTCCACCAAATGGCGTTATAGAATTAAATACCCCACTCTCTCTATCTTTACAGAGTAGGAAATATAGTTATCCTGCAAGCTTAAACCCCCAAAACATAGGCACACTGCCCCTGGAAAGAAAAACCCATGGCTATTATTAGATAAACATAAAAACATCAAGCTAGTATAGATCCACTTTCCCCCCATCTTTACAGAGTAAGAATAGTTATCTTGAAAGCTTTTACTTCTGAAAACTGGGACGACTGACTGCCTCTGGGTTAAAAAAAAACCCCACAGGTTATGTTGGATAGAAATAACTCAGGAACATCCAGCTAAAATGGATGTCACACCATCACTGTTTGCTTCCAGGGAAGCTGAGAATGTTTCTGAGTGATCTATGGTTAGCTGGGGTAGTAATATAGTGTGTAAAGCACATACAGCTTGCTGTAGAGAAGGGATATACGCTATACAAATGCTATTTATTATTATTATTATTATTATTACTCATAATCATCAAAATGGGAGCAGGGTCTGGCCTACTTATGATCACGTACTTGTTTGTTTGTTGGAGTATCGCTAGGTGTTTTTAACGGCACTATCAACCTAGTTTTGGTCAATGATAACGTACCTCAGGAGGGTCATTATCAGTAGCCACGACAGTCTCAAAAGCTTTGTTCAGTTCTTGGTATTCTGAGATGTTCACATTGTACTGCCTTTGGCCGAAGACGGGCCCATTGGGGTTCCTCCTCACGTTGACAGTCACGTAGGCATTGGCAGTCCTCTCTGAGGCTTGGTTGTCAGAGGCTGTTACAGTCAGCTGGACAAAGACATGGGTGTTTTGGTTTTAGCAGAGGTCTTCAACATCTAGCTCTCACTGGCAAAATTAAGGGCAAACGAGGCAGGGGTAGGCCCAGAACAGCATACTTAGGGAACCTAATCAAAAGGGTAACAGGGAAAGATCAGGGAAATGTAGCTTTTTTAAGAGCATCCGAGCAAAGGAATGAAAGGAAAACCATGATCGCCGATGTCTGTCACAGATCTGGCACTGGATGATGATGATGAAGAGGTTTTACGGTGCTCGCATCTGCATAAGGTCATATGAGCGCCAGAAGATTATAGGTGTTACAAGAGAGTAACAAAATTTTTAATGTAAGAAAAGAAGAAGGGGAGATAAGGACCACAGATGTTTGATAGGAAAGAAGAAGCTAACCACACCAGAGCACCCGCCAATCACCCACAGACATGGGGGTGGGGAGAGACGTGTAAATTAAAGGAATTCCAAGTGAAAAAGAGCTGATCGCGCCTTCAAGGAACAACGATCTAAACCATAAATTATAATCACTTTGCCATCTATTTTCTATACATGTGTAAACGTGAAACACAGGTGGCAACTTTTACCTTGAAGAACAGATTCAAACACTCGTAGAGAAGTCTTTTCTTAAAGTGGACATGAGTGGAATACAAATTGAAAAAAAACGTTTTGTTGAAACAACTGTATTTGTAAGGATACCCTTCAGATGTTACAAGCTCGGATCACCTTAAACATAACTTAAATGTCAAAGTTCACAGAACCAGAAGCACCTTTTTTCTGTTTCACAACATCTTGCAGTAGCCACATAGGTAAAGAGTCTAAAAACAAACGTGAGGCGCGCTGATAAAATGAGTTACTTCTCGCAGTCCACAAATGGAGATATTGGCCAAAAAGTGACACTAGGGTCAGATTTGAACATTTTCTATTTATGCCATATTCTTTAAGTATAACAAACCTTTTATTTCATACTTATAAATCATTTTTAAAACTTCACCTATAAGTGTGATGTATCTATTTCCTTAAGGCCTGAATCCGAGAAGTAACTCATTTTGTCAGCACGCTTCACAAATACTGAGGGGGCACTCAGTAGGCAACCAAAAAAATCGGAGGTTAATACCATGACCACAATTTGAAGCAACGATCGTTATCTTTAAAAAACAAAACAAAAATACAAACAACAACAAAAAAAAATTTTTAATTAGGAAACAACTCACAGAAAACACTGTGTCTGAAGTCCTCAGGACAGACACCTTGAGAGTAATCAAGCCGGAGTTGGGATCAATTTGGAAGTACAAGCTGCCCAGCTGTCTCTGCCCCAGTTTGTAGGTCACAATTTCCTGAAGACAAGATGAAAAAGTCACAGTTGCAGGCACTCTAATCCATTCAAATGTGACGAAACATACATTTAATAATATAGAGAGCTGGAGAACAAAATCAACTTTTTAGTTTTAGCAAGTGTTTTGCAACACTTGCAACACAAGGTCATATACGTGCCGAAGATTAGAGGTGTTACAAGAGAGTAACAAACAGAGAAAAGAGGGAGGGAAGATATCGGTGATAGATTTTTTATAGGAAAGAAGGAGAAAGCACACCAGAGCACCCGCCAACCACCCACTAAATCAACTTTTTGAAATAACTTGCCCTCAAAAGCTAATTTTATAATATATTCGACATGGAGGTGGAACCCACAACAAATATCTGAGTCAAACTGCGGATAGGGACTCATCTTTACTCTTGTAAAAGCCTGTGCCTGTGCAAGCAATGACCTCAAACAAACAAAAAATTGCAAAAACAGCAACTAACTTTCACACTGCCCTGACGGTAGGGCGTGAAATAGCCAGCTGTGAAATCGCAACTGTTTGTGAGTGTATATGCCGTTAGGTTCAACATGTATGAAACACGAACAATGTATACATATTAACAGCAACATTCTATTCTAAGGTTACCTTAGCGCATATCGAAACATGTTTTTTGTTTGTTTGTTTGTTGTTATTTTGTTTGTTTGTTGGTTTATTTTTTTGGTGGGGGGTGTGGTTGTTTGTGGTTGTTGGGGGGGGGATCCAATGTCCTTATTTGGTGCCGATATTTGTAAGTTACATATAAAATGTGTCAACAAGGTAGTAATTGTTCTGCTTCAAGAAAAACAAAACTGGAACAAAGGAATATCAACTTATCAATACATAATATATCCAGGCCACCGAGAGAAAAGCAACAGGAAGCAACAACTCACTCCGTCCGCGTCCGTGGCGTTGAGGTCAATGATGGACCCTCCGACGGGGAAATTTTCATCAATGGTGACGCTGTAGCTGTCGCTGGGTCGGAACACCGGCGGGTTGATGTTCCTCTGAACAAACACTATCACGGTGGCCGTGGCCTCCTCTTGGGGCGAGCCGTTGTCTCTCACGTTGACGGGGAACTAGACACAGGGGGGGGAGGGAGTTTTCGTTCAGTTTAGTTTTTGTACGAGTTTTTTTGTTTTAGTAAATGTTTTACACACGGCACTTGCAAGCAACGCAATAGGGTCGTATAAATGCCGAAGATTAAAAGTGTTACAAGAGAGAAACAAACACACAAAAGAAAAAGGGGAGATAAAGACGATAGATGTTTAGTTTTAGTAGAGGTTTTACGGCGCTCACAACTGCATAAGGTCATTTGAGCGCCAGGAGATTAGAGGTGTTACAAGAGAGTAACAAAAATAAAAAAGAAGAAGGGGAGATAAGGACAATAGATGTTTGATAGGAAAGAAGAAGCAAACCACACCAGAGCACCCGCCAACCACCCACGTACGAGTTTTACGCCACTTGCAACATCTAAGGTCACATTATAAGAGTTGAAGATTAGATGTGTTACAAGAGAGTAACAAACACAAAAAAGGAAGAGAGATAAGGACGATTGACGTTTGATAGGAACGAAGGAGCAAGCCACACCAGAGCACCCGCCAACCACCCGCTTTATTTTTTAGCTTTTGCTTTTGCCTCAGGAATGACTTGTCAGTGAATAAAAAAACAATCTTGATTTCTGAGAACCTTGTTGAAGCATTGTTACGTTACAGCAAAACAAAACATTGCAAAAAAAAAGACAACATTCAAACTTCACAAATACTGTCTTTAAACGAGTAAAACAGCTTTTTGTAATAGTAAAAAAGCCCAATAATGGCCACATTTTACTTTCTTTGTTTGAGTAGGTGTTTTACGACACTATCGACTCAGTTTGGTCATGCCAAATTTTGCCAGAAAATCAAAAGCATATTAATAACATTGAGAAGATGTACACAAGGCAATCCATCCAGCATCCATGAACATTTGGATATTTTTACCCAACAACAACAGCCTAAAGAAACATACAAAACCAGCTGTACTTACAGAGAAATTCCTCACACTTCGGTCATCGAGCAAGCTGCGAGACACAGATATGTTGCCGTTGTTGGGATTCATGTAGAAGTACAAGTATGCTCGCAGAGGGCTGTTGGCCGACTGGCTGACAGTGTAGGTCAGGATTCCAGCAGTGCCCTGAGGACAGCAAGATTATCCCCAATGAGTCAAAAGTACAAAGTGGGTCTACTTTTTCAGAAACAGTGCAGCCTCTCTAGAACGACGTCGTTGGGACCAAAACGAATGTCGTTATAGAGAGTTGTCATTATAGAAAGGCAACCAAAATATTACTAACGATATATATGTGAGGCAGTGTGGTGGAATCAGGCTCTCGTCAAAATAATCAAAGTGAAGAAACTTGCATTTTTCAGTAGGTTTGGAAGTTTTTAGCAAATTTTTTATTTTTAACTCAACACGTTTCAAGCCCATTGAAGAACTCATTTCTGTGTGGATTTTTCTGAAAAACATTGATTAAAGGATCAAAAAATGTAAATTTTCAGTCACCACGAACTCTTTAGCTAAAGAAATAACTAATCTTTGGCGGACATTTTCTCACTAATGTTACCTCTGAAAACGGGTGACCCCACCTCCTTCTTTCGCAAATATCTCGACTTGTATTCAATATAACTGGATATTTCTTTCTTCCAAATAAAGACAAGTGAACAAGCTTTAAGATGATACCCATAACTCTACATGCCCAAAAATTGACGAGAGCCTGATTCCACCACGCCACCTCACATATGGAAATAGTCGGGACCTGGGCACCATGTCGCTACACAGAGGATGTCGTTATATCGAAGGTCGTTATAGAGAAGCTCCACGGTATACAGAACTGGAAAGAGACTGAAAAGACCAGCCCTACTAGATATGGCACAAGTATCATAATGAAGACTGAGACTCATTTTTAGTAACAGTGTGTTAGTAAGTGCTGATGTTGTGTCTTCACTGCTGTCCTTACGTGTAGAGGGATTGTTGAGAAAGTTCTTCTTTATGTGGCTGAACTGGATTTTTTTTATTATTGTGAAATATTTTATCTCGTGAGAATCACGCAGTGATCGTATGTTATTGATGTTAAGTGCTCAGAGCTTATCCTCGTATGGGATGGGGGCACTACATAAATGCAACCTATTATTATTATTACTACTATTAAGTGTTTATTCAAAATACAGTTGCATTTAAAAAAGTAAACAAATAAAACTGGGTCAATACCGAGTCAGGATCTGTTGCAGCGACTGCTCCAAACACCTTTCCGAGTTGTTGGTCCTCTGGGATGATAAATTCATAGCGGTTCTTTGAGAACTTAGGCTTGGTGGGGTTTCTGTCCACAAGCACCGTGATTTCTTTAAACGCTTCCACTCTTGGGTCGTTCTCTCTGTATGCCCGAACACGAATCTGGAGAGAGCAAAGGCGAACAATTACAATGCAGCACTTGGTTCTGGAAACTGGAAACATTCAGCAATGCAAATGCAAAGTTTAACCCTATCCGTACGCCCTGGGGTCATTTTGTACCCCTGGGGTTGTATTCTTCACATTTTAAAATGCTTCTAGTACGAAGATCTCTTTGAAACTTTCAGTATTTCTCAAACAAATCATTTTGACAGACTGCTATGCAAAGCGTACAGATCGGATTAAAGAGTAAATTTCATCTTTGGAAAGCGGTAGCACAGAGTTCTCCACGTCGTACAGATACCATAGTAAAACACAACATACAGATAGGGCTAAGAAGTTCATTTTAAAGAAACTTCACGAAATGGTTACAATTCTTTTTTTTAAACATGAAATCCAAAAGGTATACATTGCAGGTGCTATACATGAACATTTTTTTTTCTGCTAAAAAGATAAATTTCTAGCCCTTCAATCAGCTGCATAACCAAGAATCTGTTCCACCATTCTTCTTCCCAGTAAACAATGGTCATTGCACATTCCAATACGCCTATGATCTGGTGTATATCCTGTTCCATCTCTGATCATTTCACTTTTGTCATTGTATGGTAAAACATTGGAATAAAACATGCAGACTTTATTTTTTCTCTTTTAACCCTGTAAGGTTTTAAGGGAACTGCCTTTCAACCAATGCTCCAAGTCATACAGTTTAGAATTAAATATTGACAGTTCAGTGACATGTTGAATAGGAACAAAAGCTGCCTCTGGAATATGGCAACTTACCAAGTACGACAAAACCTTTGTCTTGTCATCTGTCAGTGGAGCATTCACGGTCACGCGGCCTGTGTCTGGATTGATGGCAAAGTATTTGCTGGCATCACCATCTCCTCGAATCTCGTACACAATCTTTGCCTGAAAAATACAGGCATAAAACACAATGCTTAAAACAAGTAGAGAAGACCTCGAATAGTTACTGGTAATATTTCAATAAACTTGGAAGTCTGCTACCTGGAAATTGGACATAATTAGCTAGATAAACTCCCCCCCCCCCCCAACACACACACACACACACACACACACACACACACACACACACACACACACACACACACATTGGAGAGCAGACATTAGACTGTCCCTGCGGTTTTAAGCAAAATAAGTTTCTGAAATTATGCAAACTGAGCCCAAAAATGTGAACCAATGTAGCGGTGACTAGGCATACGGGCAACATTACGCGCCATCAATGTACCGGTGACTAAGCATACGGGCAACATTACGTGCCACCAACGTACCGGTGGCTAGGTCTCAAAGGGTTAATGTCACACTTACATTGGAGCCACCATCATTGGCCACGCTGACTTCAATCTCATTCCCAACAGGGACAGTTTCGTCTCGTGAGTACGTCACTTGCGCGGGTATGAAGGAGAGCCCTGGACTCTTGCTGATTGTGACAACCACTTGGGCTGTGTCCGACAATTTGGGCGTGCCACCGTCTTCTACTCTCACACCAAACTGGAAGAGAGAAAAAAGTATGTTGTAGTTATACGTTAATGTCCATAACCCTTAAAAAAAAAAAAAGGACCTTGATGATTTTATGAAAAGTACTGTTGTTATCATCATGGTCATCATTAAATTTAGCGAATTCTTTTCAAAAGGTACCGATGAAACAAATGATGTTGATAGTGACTCATAAAAGTAGGTTCAGAAATGCAAATTGGTATTCAGTTAGATTTATATTTGATATTTACTTCCTAAAGATCCTACGGTACTGACAACTGGGTCCAAACTTCCTGACGCAAAGAGGCCAGAAGAAGTGCACAAATCTAACCATTACAACTCACAGTGTAGGTAGACTGGGGAAGATTTTCCAAGCTGCGACGAGCCGATATCTCTCCAGCGCTGCTAATGGTGAAGATTTGAGCAGCGTTGGTGTCATCAATGTAGTACTTGAGTTCTCCATTTGGCACATTCTGAAGGCAAAAGTTGGTTCAGTAAGTTTCAGTTTTACAAGAGGTTTTACGGCGCTCGCAACTGCACAAGGTCATATGAGTGCCAGAAGATTACAGGTGTTACAAGAGAGTAACAAACATAAAAAAGGATGGGAGATAAAGACGATAGATGTTTGATAGGAAAGAAGAAGCTAACCACACTAGAGCACGCGCCAACCACCCACTGGTTTAGTAAGAGTTTTGCGACACTTGCAACTGCATAAGGTCATATGTGGTAAAAGTTATTCAGGGATGACGATGGCAAAATTCAACAACGCGGTGCTGAATCTTTTCACACTGCTTACAAACTTACTGAAAATATGACCGGGTGCAATGTACCCACATCCTACTGCGATACTGCCACTAAATAATTTCAACAGGTTTTATTTTTATATCACACTATAATAAAACTCTTTGTCCCTGATCTATCATAGTGCGATACCAAAGATCTATCAGTGTGGAACCAAGGATCTATCATAGTGTGATACCAAAGATCTATCAGTGTGGAACCAAGGACCTATCATAGTGTGATACCAAAGATCTATCAGTGTGGAACCAAGGATCTATCATAGTGTGATACCAAAGATCTATCAGTGTGGAACCAAGGATCTATCAGTGTGGTACCAAAGATCTATCATAGTGTGGTACTAAAGATCTATCAGTGTGATACCAAAAATCTACCAGCGTGATACCAAAGGTCTATCAGTGTGGAACCAAAGATCTATCATAGTGTGGTACCAAAGATCTATCAGTGTGGAACCAAGGATCTATCATAGTGTGATACCAAAGATCTATCAGTGTGGAACCAAGGATCTATCATAGTGTGATACCAAAGATCTATCAGTGTGGAACCAAGGATCTATCAGTGTGGTACCAAAGATCTATCATAGTGTGGTACTAAAGATCTATCAGTGTGATACCAAAGATCTATCAGTGTGGCACCAAAGATCTATCATAGTGTGGAACCAAAGATCTATCATAGTGTGATACCAAAGATCTACCAGTGTGGTATCAAAGATCTATCAGTAAGTCCTGCTGCCAAGGCATCTGCAATAAAAAGCCACACTCACCGGATTCTCCTCATCGGGGTCGGTAGCAGATGCCACTATGATCGTGGAAAAGATGTCAACCGTGTCAACAGTGGGGGCATCATATTTGTCCAACTGGAACTTGGGAGGACGGTTGCGTCTGACGTTGACAGTGAGTGTGGCAGTTGCAGACAGCGGGTTCAAACTTCCGTCCTTTGCTACGATGTACACCTGTTCGGGGAGAATTTTTAAAAAAAGTTTTAGTAAGAGTATTACGGCGTTTGCAACTCAAGAAGACCATATAAGTGCCGAAGATTAGATCAGAGGTGTTACAAGAGAATAACAAACACAAAAAAAGGAGGACAGATAAGGACAATAGATGATTGATAGGAAAGAAGAAGCAAACCACACTAGAGCACCCGCCAACCACCCACGCCCCCACAGACCACCCATAGGCCTACTACAAAAGTGAAATAAGAAAAGGCAGTCTAAAAAGTTGGCACATGTAGCAAAAACAGCCTCACTATAGAAGCAAGAGGGTATTTTGTTTTATAAAGAGTTTTACAGCCCGTGCTACACAATAAGGTCGTATAAGTGCCACAGAATAGAGGAGTTACAAGACAGCAACAAGCACTAAAAAGAAGGAGGGGAGATAAGGACAACAAATGTTTGATAAGAAAGAAGGAACAAACTACACCAGAGCACCCGCTAACCACCCATCAAGAGGGTATGAGGTAAAGAAAAAAAAAACCCTCCGAAACTCAAGTTCAAGAATGCCTATTTGGAGTCGCTCCTACTTTGTTCAGAGACCATCTACTCTACGGTGAAAAAATACCAGACTAGAAAAGCATTTTATTATCCGATTTAATTTTAACAATAATATACCAACTTTTTCAAGAGTAGCATTGTTCAACTCACAAGGTAAGGGTTCGGCTTCGCTGAATCCAGAGAGACCATTTTCTTGACAGTGACCACACCTGTGAATGTGTCCACCATGAAATACTCATTGGCATCTCTTCCACTTGCCAGGGAGTAGTAGATCTGGTTCTCTGGTGGCTGGCGAACACAGCATCATTTTGTTTTAGTAAGAGTATTACGGCACTTGCAACACAATAAGGTCATATAAGTGCCGAAGAATAGAGGTGTTACAAGAGAGTAACAAACACAAAAAAGAAGGAGGAGAGATTAGGACGATAGATGTTTGATAGGAAAGAAGGAGCAGACCACCCCACAGCACCCGCCAACTGCCCACGCAGAGCATAAACAATTTGTTCAACCCATCTCATTACTTCAAACAGGACACCAATACAATACTACTAGAAAAAGTGTCAAGGCTGAGAGAAAAAGTGTCAATACTGAGAGAAAAAGTGTCAAGGCTGAGAGAAAAAGTGTCAAGGCTGAGAGAAAAAGTGTCAAGAGAAAAAGTGTTAAGAGAAAAAGTGTCAAGAGAAAAAGTGTCAAGAGAAAAAGTGTCAAGTGAAAAAGTGTCAAGAGAAAAAGTGTCAAGGCTGAGAGAAAAAGTGTCAAAAAGTGTCAAGTGAAAAAATGTCAAGAGAAAAAGTGTCAAGGCTGAGAGAAAAAGTGTCAAAAAGTGTCAAGAGAAAAAGTGTCAAGGCTGAGGGAAAAAGTGTCAAAAAGTGTCAAGGCTTAGGGAAAAAGTGTCAAGGCTGAGAGAAAAAGTGTCAAGAGAAAACAAAAACAGAAAAGAGTTGACTTGATGCACAGGAGAAAAAAAACACATTTAACAAAGCATATTTATTAAGATAGCAGCGATTTCTCTCATGTCTTTTCTTGGCTTTTTTTTTTTTGTTGCAACACTGCAGCTTGTGATATAGAGAAATAAAGATATATGTGAGTAGATCTAGTGCTGACAAAATTAATCACTTCTTGCAATCCACAAAGGGACTTATTCGCCGAAAATTAACACAGGGGTCAAATTTGTATATTTTCAACTGATACCATTTTCTTCAGGTTAGCCATGCCCTTCATCATTCCACACTAATAAATTGTACAAACAACCCATAAATTTGACATATTTCTGTCCACCGGGCTGAAAGCGGAGAAGAAACTCATTTTGTCAGCAAGACCGCATAATTCAACAAGTTGTCAATGTGGAAAGTAACTATACATTCAATATTGTGTTGGAAGAACAAATCTAAGTACGAATATAGAACTTAAATGAGTAAAACTTTCATGAAAGCTAAAAACCCATATTTCAACAAGCGTATCTGCAAACACCACTATTCATCCAGCAATTATAATAGTAAATCACCAAGCCTCTCATTTCGTACAAAGCTGTAAGATAATAACCTTCATAATTTGCCTGAATCAATTTAATGAAATAGAAATATTGAAGAGGTACAAAGACCTGACCAAACGAGAGCACCACTTTTATTACGAGGTTAAAAAGAAACACATTGAAAAGATAATGGTCATTCAAAGCTAGGAAAAAGACAGACTGAAATAATTGAGGGACAGTGAAGAAGTGAGATCTTTCAGAGTGGCCATCAACCACACACACAAAGCACTGCTGTTTTTTCCATAGAAACAACAATCGACATTTGTACTGGTTGTCATTTGCAAAGTATTTTTGAAAAGCAATAAAACTCACCAGTGGGTCACTATCACTCGCAGTGACGGTGTTGACCACAGTCCCTGGGGCAGCATAATCATAAATGAAAGATGTCAGCGAGGTGCTGGGGAAAATTGGTCCCTCTATGTTACGAATGAAATTGATGGAGACGTAGCTTCCAATCACTTCATCGGGCACACTTTCATCAAATGCCTCCACAAAGAGCTGTTGGGAAGGAAAAAAAAGGCAGGAGAATGTTAGAATGTGTCACTGAAGAAATATGGTGAGAGAGCTTTTTCTTTTTCTGGGCCAACAGTTTGGAACGCTCTCCCTCATGATTCGAGGATCGAAAAAAAACTTGATACCTTCAAAAGAGGATTCCAAACACATCTATTTAAGAAATATTTTAATTAATGGACAGTACCTTGCCTTTTTGTATGAGCATTTTTTATTGTCTGAAAGAATGTTGCTGTCAAAAAGTGTGCACATGATGAATTTGTATGGTGTTAGTATGAATGTGTTTTTAATCTCCTATGTACACCTTGGGCCCATGTTGTGGGGAAAGGCAGGATACAAATGCTCTTATTATTATTATTATTATTATTAAAATTATCGGAGCTAGTAGAAAGAAGACCTGGATGCATATATATATATACAGGAGGAGGTGAAAAGTAAATCTTCCTTGCTATCATTGCCATTAACTCTATGTTACATAATACAATGGCACATCTCAGACACAGTCCTTGTGGTTTGAGGGACTGAAGGTCAGTTTCGAAAAGAATGTCTAGTGTTGTCGAGGCTACTGTTTGTAGATGCTTGGTCACTCAAAGAATCGCATTAAAACAAAGCTTGATATGTTGGGAAACTCAACATTTTTTACATCAAATTTCTCAGAACTGGGTAATGAGCAGATGGAAGTTTGTACTTCTGAGGTCACGCAATGCTCAGCACAGTGTTGGAGCGCGAGGAGGTGACAAAAAAGTAGCACAGTAGGGGCGGGCACGAGACGAGCCGAGTACTAGTTTCCCTTCGCGAGAAATGCCCTTCCCGTCCCTGCCCGGGCACTAAACTACTGCCCGGTACCGAGAAGTGATACTGCTCGTTAGCTTGAAATAACGAGTAACAGAAACGAGAGTGAGAGAGTGAGAGGCGAGAAATGACAACGCAGACAGTGCCACCCATCACCGTGCCGTCCTGTGTGTGAAACTGAAAGGGAGGGGAGAGGGTGGCGAGACGAGGCGAGTGGGGAGTGGATCAGGGCCTAGGCCTAGACCTCCCAACCTTCCTTCACCACCTGCACCTGCGCAAGAGGGCTAACCTAGTTTAGATCCCCGCCACGATCGGCCTTCTCGCTAAACGAGTTCCTCGTACTGTGGGGCGAGAAGAGAAATCTCGGCCATGGCCGGCCTTCTCGCTGAACGAGTGGCTCGAACTGCGGGGTGAGAAGAGAAATTGGTCACGAGACGAGAAGTATTGCTCGAGACACGAGACGAGAAGTATTTCTCGGTACCGGGACCAGTCCCGACGAAAAGTAGGTCAGCTTCTCTGTCTTCTCGCTTGAGAAAGAAAAAGCGCTTCCCGCCCGTCTCTATAGCACAGTACTTACCACAATGCTGGAGCGCGTGGAGGTGACAGAGCTGGTGACCAGGTCCTCCATGAGAGTGAGCACACCCGTGCGGGGGTTAATAGAGAACAAGCTGCGGGCGGCGGCTGGGGCGGCTCCGGTGATCCTGTACCGAATCTTGTCCTGAACAATGGAAAAGCAAAAAGATAAGACGGATCTTCTATACCTGGATACCTGGAGGTGTCATCTCTGACTCAGAGGTTGACGTGTAAAGACCCTCCATCTTTCACGGTCACCAGCTGCCGTTGCACATTCTGCTATCGGAGTGCTTATTGGCCCACAGGGACATATAAAATTTCCCCTAAAACATTTATTATTTGCCCACAAAATTGCGAGTTATCTCCCCTGTGTTTGGCGCGGGGGGGGCCCCCCCCTCCCCCCCAAATCCACAAATGATAATTTAAAATGAAATACAACAGCAAAATCCCCATTAAATATGAGAGAAATTATTTATATTATAATTATACACTTCTCTAAGGCTTAAGTTAATATTATATTTTACACCTGAAAGTAAGTCAATTTCTACTATAATTGGAAGTATAGATCTAGATCTAGATGGCCATATTTCTTATTTCTTATGGGGGGGGGGGGGGGTGCGCAGAGATGGACATGTTCCGACTGCAGTGACCCCAACACAGTGGACAAGTAAGTAAGTAAGATGGTAGTGTGCTAGACAAGTGTCATGAAATCTCATTTTGGGGCGTCGCAGGCCATCTATACTTACAACAGTATTCTGCTTCCTGGCCAGGATATTTGCATTGACGGGCGAGTTTCGGTTCTGATTGATGTTCATGGAGGTTGAGAACGGAGCATTGACCCACTCTGGTGAGAAAGTCACATCTCTGACGTTGATAGTCACGGCTGCAGAGGCAGTCTTTGGTGGACTCCGGTTGTCAGAGGCTTGCACGTTGAACTGGGGAAAAAAGGGGGGAAATAAGACCACATCAGTTTAGTTTCAGTAAGAGGTTTACGGCACTTACAACACAATAAGGTCATATAAGTGCCAAAGATTAGAGGTGTTACAAGGGAGTAACAAACACGAAAAAGAAGGAGGGGAGATAAAGACGATAGATGTTTGATAGAAAAGAAGGAGCAAACTACACTATAGCACCTGCCAACCACCCATATTTCATGATTTCAAGATAAAAGGAAGACCAAGGAAAAGATGGATTGAAGGAATCAGGAAGACAATCCAAAAGGCAGTACACCTGGACCACATTCGACAATTACATCTTCACTTCAGTACTTTGTGCCACAAGAAGACAGAAAAGTACTAAAAGTATTTTTATTTTTTTTAAAAGAAGGAGCATAGAAGGAGAGAAAACGAAGGATGTATGGTCGGAAAGAAGCACGTGCAAGACACACTCAAAGGAAAACACAGACTCACATAAATGAGCACACTCGACGTAAACACATCCAGACTTAATTAGTTTTAGTAGAAGTTTTACGGCACTCGCAAACTGCATAAAATCATGTGAGCGCCAGAAGAAGCAAACCACACCAGAGCACCCGCCAACCACCCACATCTAAACTTAACATGCCAACACGTGTAAACATGTGTATACTCCCAGACACATATTTTAGGCAGCACGGCGGAATCAGGCTCTCGTCAATTTTTGGGAATGTAGAGTTATTTGTATCATCTTAAAGCTTGTTCACTCGTCTTTATTTGGATGGAAAAAATATCCGTTTATTTTTAATATAAATCGAGATATTTGCGAATGAAGGAGATGGGGGTCACCTGTTTTCAGAGGTAAAATTAGTGAGAAAATGGCCGCCAAAGATTAGTTATTTCCGTATCTCAAGGGTCCGTGGTAACTGAAAATTTACATTTTTTGTGCTTTTAATCGACGTTTTTCAGAAAAATCCACACAGAAGTGAGTTCTTTAATGGGCATGAAAGGTGCTGAGCCAAAAAACAAAAATTTTATAAAAATTTACAAACCAGTGGAAAAAAAGCAAGTTTCTTCACTTTGCTTATTTTGACGAGAGCCTGATTCCACCACGCTGCCTCACATATAATCCTTGTACAAACAACACCAGAGCACTTGCCAACCACCCACATCCAGACTTAACATGCCAACACGTGTAGACATGTGTAGACTCCCAGACACATATTATAATCCTTGTACAAACAACAAGAAATACATACCCTGTACGATGCAGCCCCGGAAAGGCCAGCAACTAGAATGACATCACCATTGTCAACCACAAAGAAGTTGCTGCCTTGAGGGTCACTGGGATTGACCTTGCTGAAAGTGACAACATCCTGAAGAGAAAGATAATCAAATAGAGCGTAACAACTATTTTTAAATTTTAAAAAAATTACCACACTAGCTGGTTATAATATATATATATATGTATATGGCTTCTGTTACGTACGAGAAAGGTCATTTTGTTTTGATTCGGATTTCATCCAGTTTGAGATCAAAACATCTTGTTTAACAGAAACAAAGTTAGTAAATTATGTTAAAACCTTTATTGTATAATCTAATAGGCCTGCACACACACACTTGAATGTATGCTACCTTCATCCCTTTGCCCATTTGGCATAAATCAAGCAACAGACCCAAAGGACCAAAGGTGCACAGACTCTATAGGCTCGAGAAGTCTGAGCTCAAAGGGTTAAAGATGGCTAGTGCAGTCATCAACGTCAGTGTGTCATCAGAGTCACATTATGACAAAAGCATTACTGCACATATAAGAAAGAAGAGCAGAGCACACCTGAGCATCCGCTACCCACCCGCAGAAGAAAATCCCAACACATTCTGGATTAACCCTCTCAGCACTATAAACAGGTCAGCACAGCAGGACCAAAATGGCAGCCAGCTGATGGCTTCCCAAGAACGAATTCTTTCAGCGTTTTTCAGAGGTTTAGGGGGGTATAGCAAAGAGGTTGCTTTTATATTTGTTGTAAGCGACGTATTTGAATGAAATTTTAGCTACAAAGACCTAGGACGTCAGCACCTAAATTTAGAGTGGCATGTTTTTATTTCTAAGCCTGCACTAGAGTATCAGGCCGGTAAAAGCCAGTATGGCTCAACAGCGGCAAAGACGGTATAGCTCTAAAGCCGGTAAAAGCCGGTATGGCAACCAACATGGCGGGAAGGCCGGTTTAGGCCGGTATGGCTCAAAAAGAGGTTCAAACACTCACATTGTCATTATCTGTGGCAGCCAGTTTGAGCACAGTGGTGCCAATGGGAGTATCGTCGTCGATCGTGGCCACTCTGGAGCCCGTAAAGACCGGGAAGTTTGGATTGCGGATCATCCGCACGGTCAGTGTCTTGGTCACCCTGTTGTTGGGCCAGAATGAGTCGTACACTTGGATGGGAATCTGTAGAGAAACGACAAACAAATGCTAGAGAAACGACAAACACATGCTAGAAAAATGACAAAAGCTAGGAAAATGACAAACAAATGCTAGAGAAACAACAAACAAATGCTAGAGAAATGAAAAACACAGGCTAGAAAAATGACAAACAAATGCTAGAAAAATGACAAAGAAATGCTAGAGAAACGACAAACAAAATGGTAGAAAAACGACAAACACATGCTAGAAAAATAACAAATGCTAGAGAAACGACAAACAAAATGGTAGAAAAATTACAAAGAAATGCTAGAGAAATGACAAAGAAATGCTAGGGAAACGACCAAGCATCTCAACAACAACTTCACAATTCATCTAAGTACTGGAAAAAAACGTCTACACAGCCGGTAAATAAACTACAAAAGCCCCAGGGGCAGACTGGTTCATGATCGCATTAGGTACGTCAATATTAAGGTGAAAGCTTTTCCTAGCATTCATAGCGGCACGCCCTTGAGTAAGAAACTAAAACCCTGACTCAAAAAGACGGGCTGTCCCCTGCAACAGCATTACACTACAGCACTTTTCTCAGAAGTTTGTACTGAACTCGGTTTTGAAAATGTCTGTATGAACACAATATTGAGACACAAAATACATTATATGAAAAGTTTTTTGTTTGTTTTAGTAGAGGTTTTTCAGCGCTCGCAACTGCGTAAGGTCATATGAGCACCAGAAGATTAGAGATGTTACAAGCGAGTACCGTAACAAACATAAAAAAGAAGGAGGGTAGATAAGGATGATAGGTGTTTGATAGGAAAGAAGGAGCAGACCACACCAGAGCACCCGCCAACCACCCGCATGAAAAGTTTGAGTAAAAAGAAGTACATTGACACACAACAACAGCCATTAAGTGCAAGGGGAAAAGTAAGACAGACAAATGACAAAGGGAAAGAAAAGAAGTACATTGACACACAATAACAGCCATTAAGTGCAAGGGGAAAAGTAAGACAGACAAATGACAAAGGGAAAGAAAAGAAGTACATTGACACACAATAACAGCCATTAAGTGCAAGGGGAAAAGTAAGACAGACAAATGACAAAGGGAAAGAAAAGAAGTAAAACCTACCAGCAGCGCCCTCTAACCACCCAATGGCAAGAAGTAGCCGGGTCAAACCCATGAAAGAAGAGATCAAACACCCACAACAACAGTAAGGTAGATACAAAAGACATATGTGAGGCAGCCTGGTGGAATCAGGCTCTCGTCAATTTTTGGGCATGTAGAGTTATTGGTATCATTTTAAAGCTTGTTCACTTGTCTTTATTTGGATGAAAAAAATATCCATTTATCTTGAATACAAGTCGAGATATTTGTGAAAGAAGGATGTGGTGGTCACCTGTTTTCAGAGGTAAAATTAGTAAGAAAATGGCCGTCAAAGATTCGTTATTTCCTTAGCTTAAGAGTTCGTGGTAACTGAAAATTTACATTTTTTGTGCCTTTAATCAACGTTTTTCAGAAAAATCCACACAGAAATGAGTTTTTTAATGGGCATGAAAGGTGTTGAGCCCAAAAACAAAAATTTGATAAAAATTCACAAACCGACAGAAAAAAGCAAGTTTCTTCACTTTGATTATTTTGACGAGAGCCTGATTCCACCACGCTGCCTCACATATATAAGCTCATTTTCATTTTAGGAAGATGACAGTATGATGTTAATACTGACCCAGCAAAAGACTAAGACAGAAACAACTAGCGGTAAGTTCAGTTTTAGTAAGAGTTTTACCTCACTTGCAACACAGTAAGGTTGTATAAGTGCCGAAGATTAGAGGTGTTACAAGAGAGTAACACACAAAAAAGAAGGAGGGGAGATAAAGACGATAGATGTTTGATAGGAAAGAAGAAGCACACAACACAAGAGCATCCGCCAACCACCCACTTGGAAAGAATATCGAAGGAGTAGACAGTAGATTGAAGGCAAAAGATGCAGGGGTAGGCCCAGAGCAACCTACTGAGGGAACCTAAACAAACGTGGCGTCGGTGGCCTAGTGGTTAGGCTCTCGGACTCGCAACTGTAAGGTCGTGGGTTCGAATCCCGTCAGGGACCCGACGTTGTGTCCTTGGGAAAGGCACTTTACACGAATTTTCCTCACTTCACCCAGGTGGGAATGGGTACCCGGCTATAGACAGCGAAAGATCTTGTCAGTATGTTAGTGTTTGAGCGCTTAATCAGCTGCTTGCACTGTATGCTTCCCGGGAAGCTGAGAATGTTTCGGAGTGTTCTGTGGTCTGCTGGGGTAATAATATAGTGTAAAGCGCATAGAGCCTGCTGCTGAGCGGGGATTTGCGCTATACAAATGCTATCTATTATTTTATTTTTTTTTAAACAGGTAACAGGGAAAGATCAGGGAAACGTAGCTTTTTTAAGAATATCCGATATCGATAGCAACAACAACAACAATCGATAAGAGCAACCTACTGAGGGAACCTAAACAAACGGGTAACAGGGAAAGATCAGGGAAACGTAGCTTTTTTAAGAATATCCGATATCGATAGCAACAACAACAACAATCGATAAGAGCAACCTACTGAGGGAACCTAAACAAACGGGTAACAGGGAAAGATCAGGGAAACGTAGCTTTTTTAAGAATATCCGATATCGATAGCAACAACAACAACAATCGATAAGAGCAACCTACTGAGGGAACCTAAACAAACGGGTAACAGGGAAAGATCAGGGAAACGTAGCTTTTTTAAGAATATCCGATATCGATAGCAACAACAACAACAATCGATAAGAGCAACCTACTGAGGGAACCTAAACAAACGGGTAACAGGGAAAGATCAGGGAAACGTAGCTTTTTTAAGAGCATCCGAGCAAAGAAATGAATGGAGAACCATGATCGCTGATGTCTGTCGCACACTGGCACTGGATGATGATTAGACAGTAGAGTTGGGGCGAGCGGGCGCACGGAATGGTTCGTTACTTTTAGACGCTGATTTAGCAAGCCAGACCCAACTCTTGTAGACAATGTGAGAATGAGCTGAAGGGTGCACTTACAATGTACTGTGTAGAGGTGTCAAATCTGGGGCTGTTGCGCACCATGACCCGACAGTCATCCATCACTTGGAAGTAGATGGAGGCAGGGGGCGTGGCAGCCATCTCGCACACCAGTGTGCCCTGGGAGAGGAAAGACACAAAACATTGTAAGTAGGAAGGTATCATTAGTGTTGTAATTCTACCACTTGTGATGGTCTTCCTGGTTCTTTGTGACTCTCTCTCTCTCTCTCTCTCTCTCTCTCTCTCTCTCTCTCTCTCTCTCTCTCTCTCTCTCTCCCTCCCCTACTCTCACTCTCTCTCTCTCTCTCTCTCCCCCTCCCTCCCTTCCCTACTCTCTCTCTCTCTCTCTCTCTCTCTCTCTCTCTCTCTCTCTCTCTCTCTCTCTCTCTCTCTCTCTCTCTCTCTCTCTCTCTCTCTCTCTCTCTCTCTCTCTCTCTCTCTCTCTCTCTCTCTCTCTCTCTCTCTCTCGGCACTGTGGTGTTATAAGCGGTCAGCGATGACAACAGCACGCAGGAACTCCTCAAGATCAAATCCATACAAGCCGTACTACCATTATCATCATTATTATTAATGTTAATGGTCTTCTTGTCATTGTTAGAATTGTTTTCGTTATTGCCAGTAGCAACAGCAGCAGTCCCTAATAGTATACCTGCACTTATGATGAATAGTAGTGTCACAAAAAATCAAGGATATGACTGAAAATAAAGAGCAGACCGTCCCAGAAATGTTGAATATTACTGTAAATAAAAAGTAAACTGTAACAAAAATGAGGGCATGACTGCATATAAAGAGTAGAAAGTAACAAAAATGAGGGCATGACTGCATATAAAGAGTAGAGTGTAACAAAAATGAGGGCATGACTGCATATAAAGAGTAGAGTGTAACAAAAATGAGGGCATGACTGCATATAAAGAGTAGAGTGTAACAAAAATGAGGGCATGGCTGCAACTGCAATTAAGGAGTAAACTGTAACAAAAATGTAGGATATGACTGCAAATAAAGAGTAAAATGTAACAAAAATGAGGGCATGACTGCAAATAACGAGTAGAGTGTAACAAAAATGTACAATATGACTGCAAATAAAGAGAAAGCTGGAACAAACATTTAGGATATGACTGCATAGGGAGGGATGTCACATATTTATAATAGTAGAAGGTTTTGAAAAACAAGTAAAACGTTGTAACAAGAAAATGAACGCAGGCCATAACTACTTTCCTCTAGCCTTTCACTTTCATGTTATCTATCCCTTTTTTTTTTCAGCTTCCAAAATATTAGTATAAATACTTCAAAACTTAAAAAAACAAAACTTCTTGGCTCATGTTAGCTCTAAAATATTATTTCAAAACGATGGCTGTACCTGGCGATCTCTATCTTCAGGAGTTCCTCGGAAGACTTGAATGCCTTTCTGGATGCTTTCTGCTATTTGGACAGTCTGATCCAGATTGGTAATATCTGGATTGAACAAATCCCTCGGGACATTGACTGTCACACGCGTGGTGGTCCTCTTAGGGTCAGCGCCATTGTCAGTAGCTTGGATGTCAACCTGGAAAAAGAAAAGTAATATTCTTCGCATTTGAACATTTCCACCGAGGCTACCATATTGTAGAGTGAAAAACCTCCCCCTAAGCTGTCAACTCCAGGAAAATTTATATCACGGAAAGTAAATAAAACTGTGAGAAAATATTTCAGCGTGAGTAGAAATTTGAAAGGCTGTTTCCAAGTAATGAGAGCCTGACCACTAGGTCACCGACACAACCAAACAAAAATCTCGTTGGACATTGAGATTTATTAGTAAGGATGATCTGATTCTGACAATTTCTTGTTTTAGTAGAGGTTTTACGGTGCTCGCAACTCAATAAGGTCATATGAGTGCCATGACAATCTCTTTGTTTTTGTTTCAGCAGAGGTTTTACGGCGCTCGCAACTGCATAAGGTCATATGAGCGCCAGAAGATTAGAGGTGTTCCAAGAGAGTAACAAACATTTTTTAAAAAGGAGGAGAGGTAAGGACGATAGATGTTTGATAGGAAAGAAGAAGCAAACCACACCAGAGCACCTGCCAACCACCCACTGACAATCTCCGTGAAGTAAGAAGACTCCCACTGCTTACCAGATAAGTAGTGGTCCTGTCTGGGTCATCTGTCAATGGCCTCCTCAAAGACAACACGCAAGTGTCCCTGTCCACCTGGAAGTATTCCTGCGCCTTTACGTTGGCGATGATGCCACAGGTCAAAGCGCTCTGCCGGAGGGAAAAGAAGACGTTTTAGGACAATGCAGTAGTTCCGCACTACTAGTTAGTTTTAGTAATGAGTTTTACAGTACTTGCAACACAATAAGGTCATATAAGAGCCGAAGAATAGATGTGTCACACGAGAGTGACATACACACAAAAAAAGGAGGAGAAGAGATAAGGATGATAGATGTTTGATAGGAAAGAAGGAGCAAACCACATTAGAGCACCCGCCAACCACCCACGTCTGCACTATTAAGGAGTGGACTCAAGTTTCAATCTCTTCTATCAAGAATCGACTTTTTAAGGCTTCTTCAAGCATGGAGCAGCTTTTACTCTTCAAAACACACAGAGAGACACACACACTTTACACATATTATTATTTTTAATTACATTGCAGTCCACTTCATACTGAAGAAAAATAAATAACCATAAAGATTAATAGCTTTATGTAAACTTTCACTTTTTCTCAAATAAACCTATCGTTGGGGTACCTGTCAAATAAGGTCAAACACTTTTTTGGGGAAAAACATATAATTAATCTCTTTCATGTTATCTTCCAGAATTGATAAAATCTAGGAGACACAACCATGGGTGAAATGGCATTTGTATATCACAGCCCCATGCCTTGCCCAGTAGTTTAAGAGATATCAAACATTTTTATCCATTTAAATATCAGCTAAAACCACTTCTGTTTTTTTAAAATAATGATATTTATAACTGGAGAGATTTTTAGTTGGAAGGCAATGCACAGTTCAGGTCTTACTCTTGTATCATAAAGCGCTCAGAGCCTGTGTACTTTAATCAAGGTTGAGAACTCATTAAACGCCATATGTGAGGCGTGCTGACAAAATGAGTTACTTCTGAGAATTCCACAAATGGAGACATTTGCCACAAATCGACATTAGGGTTAAATTGGAAGATTTTCTATTGAGGCCATATTCTTTAACTGATTCCATCCATGATCCTTTCAGGCTCTGGACAGAATTATTTTTCCTCGTTCAGTTTTAGACCTGGGGTGCATCTATTTAATGCATTACTGTGAAGCTG